CCCTTGGTCCCAAAGTGGCTGGGGATTACAAGGCGTGAGCCACGGTGGCCGGCACCCAGCTAAAATTTTTTTTTGTTGTTTTAGTAGAGACGGTTTTTCACCATGGTTGCCAGGGCTGTCTCGGAACTCCTGACTCTCAGGTGATCCACCTGGCTCCCTCTCACAAAGTGCGGGATAAAGGCGTGAGCACCTTGCCAAGCGTGACCCTGGTGTGTGTTAAAAAATTTAAAATAAAAAATAAAGGACTATGAGGGCAGGCGCGTGGCTTCAAGCCTGTATCCCAGACTCTTGGGGAGGCTCAAGGACGGGGGGATCATGAGGTCAGGAGATCGGAGTCCAGCCTGGCCTAAACCCAGTGAAACCCGTTCTCTACTAAAAATACAAAAAAAAAAAAAAACTAGCCGGTGGAGGTGGCGGGGCACCTGTAATGTAGTCCCAGGCTACTCGGCGTAGGCTTGGAGGCAGAGGGAATGGCGGAGCCGGGAGGCAGAGGCTTGCAGTGATGCTGAGATCCGGCCCACTCCTCTCAAAATAAATAAAATAAATAAATAAAAATAAAAAATAAACGAATGAAACACTAATACATACTGCAACATGGATGAATCTCAAAAACATTACACTGAGCATAAAAGACACCAGAGAGGGGCTGGGCACGACGGCTCCCGTCTGTAATCCCAGCACTTTGGGAGGCTGAGGCAGGTGGATCACTTGAGGTCAGCAGTTTAAGGGCAGTCTGGCCAACATGGTGAAACCCTGTGTTTATCAAAAAATGCAAAAATTAGCCAGGCATTGAGGCAGGCACCTGTAATCCCAGCTACTTGGAAGACTGAGGCATGAGAATCACTTGAACCCAGGAGGTGGAGGTCCCAGTGAGCCAAGATTGCACCACTGCACTCCAGCCTGGGCAATAGAGGGAGAATCTGTTTCAGGAAAAAAAAAAAAAAAAAAGGCCGGGCACGGTGGCTCACGCCTGTAATCCCAGCACTTTGGGAGGCCGAGGCAGGCGGATCACCTGAGGTTGGGAGTTCGAGACCAGCCTGGCCAACATGGTTAAACCCCATCTCTACTAAAAATACAAAAATTAGCCAGGTGTGGTGGTGCATGCTTGTAATCCCAGCTACTCAGGAGGCTGAGGCAGGAGAATCACTTGAACCCAGGAAGCAGAGGTTGCAGAGAGCTGAGATTGCGCCACTGCACTCCAGTCTGGGTGACAGACGGAGACTCCATCTCAAAAAAACAAAAAACAAAAAAAACAGAAAAGAAAGAGGCGACGGTTGCATAACATTGGGAGTGCACTAATGTCGCTGAGTCGCACATTTTTTTTTTTTCTTTTTTCTGAGACAGAGTTTTGTTCTTGTCGCCCAGGCTGGAGTGCAATGGCACGATCTGGGCTGACTGCAACTTCTGCTTCCCGGGTTCAAGGGATTCTCCTGCCTCAACCTCTGGAATAGCTGGGATTACAGGCGCCTGCCACCACACCCAGCTAATTTTTGCATTTTTAGTAGAGATGGGGTTTCACCATGTTGGCCAGGCTAGTCTCAAACTCCTGACCTCAGGTGATCCGCCCGCCTCAGTCTCCCAAACTGCTGGGATTACAGGCATAAGCCACAGCGCCTGGCCAAATCGTACACTTTAAAATGGCTAATGTTATGTGGATTTTACATCCATTAAAAGAAACGAGGTGGCATACTGAGGGAGGAGGTGGCTGGGACTTCTATGTCTAAGGGAAGAGTTCTGGGGGCCTGGACTCCTGCATCTTCGGGAAGGAGGAAGGAGTTGGAGCTTGGACTCCTGGGTCCCCAAGGGTGGAGGCTCAGATCTGAGTCCAGGGGAGGACAGGGCTGAGAGTTTGGATGTTGAATATACAAAGCTGGAGGAAGGAAGTTAGGGGCCCCCAAAGCTAAAGTGCTGCCTGTTAGGTTCTAAGGAGACAGGACACAGTGGTTTGGGGATAGAGAGCCCTTAGGAAGTGGCCGTCAGACCAAAGGACCCAGGCAGTCCTGCAGCCTGGACTTTGCCTCTGCAGGATGTCTGCCTGAGCCCCACCCCAAATGCCAGCCCTTCTTCCCCGAGCTCACCCAGCCCCACCCCCAGGACTGAGAGCCCCAGGAAGCTTGGAGAGGTGAGCATCCCGGGGAGGCCCTGGAGGCTGGCAGGTGCACGGAGGGGCTGGGAGAGCAGGGAGAAACTCCCCCAGCAGGAGAATGTGTGAGCTAAGACTGAGCACTGAAACAGGTGGAGAAATTGCCTGGAGTGGAGGAGAGCTGGCCGATTAGATCAGACCCCCTCCCGTGACTTCTGTTTGAGAGCCAATGGGGGCCCAGAGGCCACGGCCACAATCTCATGCACCTGGGCCCTCTTCAAGGGGCTGGTTCTTCAGGTGTGAAGGGGAGGAGAGAGAGAGAGAGGAAAGAGAGGGGCCCAGCTCCAGCCCCTCGTTCCCCTGCAGAGCCCAGCATGTGAGGCTTACCTGTCCCTGTCCCTGCTGGCTGGGCTATCTCGGGGTTTGGACCTCGTGAATGTCAGAGGCAGAAGGGACTCCAGAGTCTAAAGAAGGAGGGCCTAGAGGTCTGACCCTGGGTTTGAGGGAGGAGGGACTGAGGGACTGGACTCCTGGGTCCTGGGAAGAAGGAGGAGGCCATGACCCCAAATCCCTAAGTACCAAGCCGGGAGGAGGTCAGAAGCTGACGGTGGCTGTTGGGAGAGAGAAGGAAAAGGGTCAGGTGGCAGCAGCAGTCTTTGTCTGGCTGGAGGGATTTTCGGATGGAGATGTCATCGCTGAGAGCTCCCTTCCCACCCACGCTCAGCCTGGGGAACTCCAGCAGGGAAAAGGGGAAGGGTGAGAGGAAGGAGAAGGAGAGCGGAGGGGAGGAGGCGGGGTCATCAGGGCTCCGTATCTCACAGACCAGAAACAGAAGCTGCGCCCAGAGAGCAGGCGGACCTCAGGCCCTCACTCTTGGGTACCCGAGTAGGTAAGAGCTGGGAGGTTGGACCTCAGAAGCTGGAGAAGAATGTCTGTATTCTAGGAGGAACTGGGGCCTGGAATTCTGGGTCTTCCAGGTTGGAGAGAGCTGGAGGCTCAGATTCCTGGTTCCTGGGGAGGGAAGGGCTGAGACTTTGGACGTTGAACCCACAAAGCTGGAGGAAGGAAGTTAGGGGCCCCTGAAGCTAAGGTGCTGCCTGCTAGGTTCTGAGGAGACAAGACATGGCGGTTTGGGGGTAGAGAGCCCCTCAGGAAGTGTGGGTCAGACCCAAGGCCCCAGGCAGCCCTCCAGCGCTCCAGCCCGGACTTTGCCTCTGCCTTGGCCTGCCTGAGCCCCATCCCGAATGCCAGCCCTTCTTCCCCAAGCTCACCCAGCCCCAGTCCCAGGACTGAGAGCCCCAGGGAGCTTGGAGAGGTGAGCATCTCAGGGAGGCCCTGGAGGCTGGGAGGTACAAGGAGGGGCTGGGAGGACAGGGAGAAACTCCCAAAAGAAGAATTCGTGAGATAGGGTTGAACACTGCGGTATAGGTGGGGTATAGGTGGGGAAATTGCCTGGAGTGGAGAGCTGGCCAATTAGATCAGACCCCCACCCGTGACTTCTGCCTGAGAGCCAAGGGGGGGCCTAGTGGTTGGGGCCACAATCTCATGCACCTGGGCCCTCCTTGAGGGCTGGTTCTTCAGGTGTGAGAGAGACAGGTGTCCTGCCTCAGCCCCGCTCCTTCACCTGCAGAGCCCGGCATGTGGGGCTACCTGTCGCTGATGCCCATCTTCCTAGCTGTCTGGGCTATCTCTGGCGTCTGGATCGTGTGAGTGTCAGAGGCATGATGGACTCCTGGGTCTGAGGGTGGAGGGGGCTGGGGCCTGGACTCCTGGGTCTGAGGGAGGAGGGGTTGGGGGCCTTGACCCCTGGATCTGAGGGAGGAGGGGCTGGGGGCCTGGACTCCTGGGTCTGAGGGAGGAGGGGCTGGGGGGTCTGGACTCCTGGGTCTGAGGGAGGAGGGGCTGGGGGTCTGGACTCCTGGTCTGAAGGAGGAGGGGCTGGGGGTTCTGAACTCCTGGTCTGAGGGTGGAGGGGGCTAGAAGTCCTTGTTTGTTTGGTCAACAGAAGGAAAAGTTGTTGGTAGGAGTCGCCCACTCACTCTGATTTCCCCCGTAGTTTTGCCATTGCAGTGACCAACAGGACGGTGGACCTCAGCAAAGGCTTTCCCTACATCAGGTAGTCCTGCCCGAGGGTAGGGATTTGGGGGTACTGCCGCTGAAGGAAAGTGAGGGCCCTGGCTTGGACTGCCCAGGATGACCCCTTTGTCTTCCCCAGCATCTGCGGATCCTTCCCCCCTCAGAGCTGCATCTTCAGCCAGGTGCTCAATATGGGAGCTGCTCTGGGTAAATATTGCTTAGCCCTTTGGTTTAGTGCTCCCCAGCCCAGCCAAGCAAGCTCCGAGACGGCTCCTTTCTCAAACCCAGGAGTCCATGCCCCAGGCCCCTCCTTCCCCAAAATCCGGGAGTTTGCCGCCTTCTCCCTCACTTTGCTCCCCTCCCTTCCCTCGCTGGGTCCCAGGAGTCCCGGGTGGGTCTCCCTCCTACTTCCTTCTCCCCTCTCCTCCCAGCCGCGTGGATCTGCATTGTCCGTTACCACCAGCTCCGGGACTGGGGCGTCGGAAGGTGGCCTAACCAGCTGATCCTATGGACGGGTCTTCTCTGTGCCCTGGGCACCTCCGTGGTAGGCAATTTCCAGGTGAGACCCAGTCGGTGCCCGGGGTCTACCCTCTCCGGCATCTGGAACTACAACTCCCAGCATGCCCCGCGGCCGTAGGCTTATTGTCTCGCGGCTGGTTCCCGCGCGGCCTCCTGGGACTTGTATTTTTCTTTGGCCAGTGGCCTTGGACCGGCTGCATTCCTTTGCTTTCTGAATGGGGCACTCCGAGCGAGGCTGTTTGTATGTCGGACTTCTTTGACTTCGAGGAGGTTGGGATAATTTTCTGCCAGCCCCTCTCCCCAGCTCATTTAATGATGAAATTACTGGGCCAGGCGCAGTGGCTCACGCCTGTAATCTCAGCACTTTGGAAGGCCGAGGCGGGCAGATCATTTGAGATAAGGAGTTCGAGATCAGCCTGGCCAACATGGTGAAACGTCGTCTCTACTAAAATATACAAAAAGTAGCCGGGTATGGTGGCAGGCGACTTAGTCCCAGCTCCTTGGGAGGCACAGGCAGGAGAATCATTTGAACCCGGGAGGTGGAGGTTGCAGTGAGCCAAGATCGAGCCATTGCACTCAAATCTGGGGGATAAGAGTGAGACTTCTCTTTAAAAAAAAAAAAAAAAAAAGATGAAATTACTGGCCGGGCTCTGTGGCTCATGGCTGTAATCCCAGCACTTTGGGAGGCGAAGGCGGGTGGATCACCTGAGATCAGGAGTTGGAGACCAGACTGGCGAACATGGTGAAACCCTGTCTCTACTAAAAATACAAAAAATTAGCCAGGGGTGGTGGCAGGTGCCTGTAATCCCAGCTACTCAGGAGGCTGAGGCAGGAGAATCGCTTGAACCCGGGAGGCGGAGGTTGTAGTGAGCCAAGACCATGCCATTACACTCTAGCCTGGGCCACAAGAGTGAGACTCAGTCTCAAAAAAAGAAAAGAAAAAAGAAAAAAAAAAAGAAAGAAAGAAAGAAAAGAAAAGAAATTACTGAGGCTGGGCACAGTGGTTCATACCTGTAATCCCAGGACTTTGGCAGGCGGAGGCTTGAGCCCAGGAGTTCAAGACCAGCCTGGACAACATGCAAGACTCTGTCTCTACAAAAAATAATTAGCCGGGTGTGGTGGCGTGACCTGTAGTCCCAGCTATGCAGGAGGCTGAGGTGGGAAGATAGAGGATTGCTTGAGCCCAGGAGGTCGAGGCTGCAGTGAGCTGTGATTGTGTCACTGCCCTCCAGCCTGGGGAACAGAGTGAGACCCTGTCTCAAAAAAGAAATGACTGAGATTTACTCATTCTTCACGTTAGGCAATTGACTGAACATTTGGCAGCCATTGGCAGCAGGCTTTCCATTTTGTACATGACTTCATTCCATCTCCATAAAGACTCTAGCTAGGTCTGTCCTTATTGCCCGTGGACGACAGAGAATATATATATATATGTGTGTGTGTGTGTGTATGTATATATATGTGTGTATATATGTACATATATATGTGTGTGTATATATATGTACATATATATACACACACACATATGAGATGGAGTCTTGCTCTATCACCCAGACTGGAGTGCAGTAGCACGATCTTGGCTCACTGCAACCTCCACCTGCCGGGGTTCCAAAGGGATTCTCCTGCCTCAACGTACCCAAGGTATCTGGGACTGATAGCAACCCCCCACCGCACCAGTAATATTTTTTTTGGTGTTTTTTTTTTTTCTTTTTTTTTGGACGGACGGCGTCGCTCTGTCGCCCAGGGCGTGATGCAGGTGGCCGGATCTCAGCTCACTGGCAAACTCCGCCCTCCAGGTTTATGCCATTTCCCTGCCCTCGCATGCCTCCGGCCGGCCGAGTAGGCTGACTACAGGGCACCTGCCACCTGCGCCCGCTAGTTTTTTTGTATTTTTTGTGAGGTGCGTAGAGATGGTTTCACCGTGTTAGCGCAGGGATGGTGCTCGACTTCCTGACCCTCGTGATCTGCCTGTCTCGGGCCTCCCAAAGTGCTGGGATTAACAGGCTGTGAGCACAGGCGCCGGGCGGCTTTTTTTGTATTTTTTGAGTAGAGCACGGGATTTCAGCCATGTTGGCCAGGCTGCGCGTCTTGAACTCCTTGGCCCTCAAATGATCACCTGCCTCAGCCTCCCAATGTGTCGGCAACTATTAGTTATGTTATGTAATTTGAGACACAGTCTTTGCTCTGTGGCCCAAGGCTGGAGTGCATGGTTACGGATCGTTGGCTCGTGGCAGCCCTTGTCTCCCCAGGTTCAAAGCGATTCTCCTGCCTCGCTTCCTGGAGGTACGCTGATTACGCGGTGCCTACCACCACGCCTGGCTAATTTTTTGTATTTTTAGTAGAGATGGGGTTTCACCATGTTGGCCAGGTTGGTCTCGAACTCCTGACCTCAAGTAATCTACCCGCCTTGGCCTCCCAAAGTGCTGAGATTACAGGCGTGAGCCACCGTGCCCGGTAATATTTGTATTTTTTGTAGAGACGAGATTTTGCCATGTTGCCCAGGCGGGTCTCAAACTCCTGAGCTCTAAGTGACCCGCCTGCTTCACGTTCCAAAGAGCTGGGAATACAGAGGTGAGCCATCATACCAGGCCGAAATTTTAAGTATTTTAAAATTTTAATGGAATATTATGCTGTGTATCTGTGAGTCACATACAACTGTTAATATTTGAGAATTTTTCACCTGCAAGACCAATTTTTTGGGGAAATATCTGTCCTCTGCCTTGAGAATGCAAGATTTATTCCACTCATATTTAGAGAGCATCTGCTATGTGCCAATCACTGTCCTAGGAACTAAGGCTATAGCACGAACAACAGATTTAAACGCCCGCCCTTGTGGAGCTGACAGTAGCCGACGTGCTTAACCAGCCCATCGCTGGGTATGGAAAGTTGGCGATCACTGTCTACTACGTTGGTGAAAGGCCCTGGCCCTCTGGTGCCCCTTACCCTCCTCCCTTCCCCTCCCAGGAAAAGAACCAGCGGCCTGCGCACTTAGCAGGGGCCTTCCTTGCCTTCATCTTGGGTAACGCCTACTTCTGGCTGCAGCTGCTCCTGTGGAGGCTGAAGAACCTGCCCCAGCCCGGGGCTCCCTGGATCGGGCCACTCCGTCTCGGCCTCTGCAGCTTCTGCACCATCCTCATTGTGGCCAGTATCCTCCTTGTATCGGGGGTAGGGGTTGGGGGTGGCTCTTCACCGGAATTGGTCTTCCTGTCTGGCTGTGTGTCACTGGGGACGTCTCTTCCTTTCTCTGGGCTTCAACATTTGCACAGGATTATGGCTTTGTCGTCGAGAAGGCCGGCTTTGGGGTCACGTTGCCCAGCTTGGAATGCCCTGTCCTCCACACACTAGCTGGGAGAATCTTCCGCGGGCTGTTACTTCTTGGTGTCAATGGTTTCCTCGTCCCTCAAATGTGGATAACGACAGGCTGACCTCAGGGTTGTGAGTGGATAGGATAATAGGCACACGGTGCTTAGATCTGTGCCTGGCATATAGTGAGTGACCAGTAAATACCGGAAGAATGATATACCAAGAACAGTCCCACGCCGGGCACGGTGGCTCACGCCTGTAATCCCGGCACTTTGGGAGGCCGAGGTGGGTGGATCACAAGATCAGGAGTTCGAGATCATCCTGGCTAACATGGTGAAACCCCATCTCTACTAAAAATACAAAAAATTAGCCAGGCGTGGTAGCAGACGCCTGTAATCTCAGCTACTCGGGAGGCTGAGGCAGGAGAATGGCGTGAACCTGGAAGGCGGAGCTTGCAGTGAACCGAGATCACGCCACTGCACTCCAGCCTGGGGGACAGAGCGAGACTCCCTCTCAGAAAAAAAAAAAGAGACCAGGTCTTGCTCTGTTGCCCAGACTGGTCTTGACCTCCTAGCCTCAGGCAATCCTCCCACCTTGGCCTCTCACCTTGGCTGGGATTGTAGGCATGAGCCACCACTTCTCAGCCCCCTTAGAAATCCCTGAATGAATGGAATACACTGTCTGGGAGGGCTGAGGTGATGAGTGGCTCCAGTGAGAGAAGTTCCAGAAAGCAAGAGCTGTCTCTGCTAGGCTGGAGCCTGGAGCCTGCAGGAGCTGGCAGAGCAGGAAAAGGTCTTAAGAAGCTGGTGGAAGGCGAGAGCCAGAGAAGGGATGGGGCAGACCAGGAGAGAAAGGTGCAAGACAGGAGGAGAGGGCTGGAGAGAGGCAGGTAAGGCAGACAGGACAAGACTTGGGGTGACCAGCTGGCCAAGAGGGATGAAGAGGGGGCCGGGAGTGTCTGCTGGGGCACATGAGTGGATGGTGGAGTTGTCATGGAGGAAGGGACACTCGGAAAGAGAAATAGATTTTACAGGGAAGAGGGAAGAGATTAGACTCTGGGAGTGAGCAGGAGGTGCCTGTGGGCCTTGGGTAGCGGGGTGGATGTTCAGGAGAAAGTTGCAAAACACAGTCTGAGGCTGGCGGTGGGGAAGGAGGCGTATTTAGGAAACCCTGCGTTTGGAGGGAGGAGCAATGGCAGCTGGGTGTCCTGGACAAGTAGGGAGGCAACCAGGCCCTTCGCTGGGTCAGGCAAGGGAGACAGAAACTTTTTGGGATACTGGGAATGCAATAGTAACACGGAGGTGCATGGAAAGGAATGCGTGTGCAAGCAGCTTGAGATAGAGACAGGGGCTGGAGAGCATCGGAGTTATGGAGGAAGGTGAGAGCTGAGGATGGGGACACCCAGAGATGGCCTCCGCCCAGCGCGAGGGGGCACAGAGACCGGGCCAGGCTCCCCGTCTGTCATGGTAGCAGTGTGACCCTTGACCCTGGGCAGTGATCGTCCTCCACGCCTGCTCGCTGCGCAGCGTCTCTGCGGCCTGCGAGTGGGCCGTGGCCATGCTGCTGTTCGCCCTCTTCGGTCTCTTCGCCGTTGACTTCTCCGTCCTGGAGAGCTGCACCCTGTGTGTTCAACCGTGGCCCAGCCTCAGCCCCCCGCCGGCCTCCCCCATCTCCCTGCCGGTCCAGCTGTAGCAGCCACTCTGACCTGGGCCTCGCCCTCACCAGTGAAGCAGGAAAGATGGGGCCAATCTCAGTGCCCCGCACGCAGCAAGATGAGCCACTGGGGATCTCTCCAACCGGCTGGGGCTGCCGCTGACTGACCTGGAGCTGGAGGACCTGTGTGCCAGCGCGGAGGGCCTCTGAACAGCTGGTGGCAGCCAGCATCCCCGTCCCCACTTTCGGGCCCTGCCCCTGCAATTGGGCACCCAGGAAGTGAGAGGCCAAGGCCAGCCAGCTGTCCCTGATCAAGGCTATTTATTATTATTATTATCTTTTTTTTTTTTTTTTTTTGCTGCCGGCGGAATCAGAGACACGGACGCAGGCAGGATCACGCGAAACCAGAATTCCTTCCGGAGAGCAAATCCGTACAGAAGGTCGTGAAGGGGAGGACCAGGGGAGGAGGGGCCCAGGAAGAGGGGGTTGGGGACGACACAGGGACACAGGGCCCTGTCCGGATCTGCTAAGCCACCCCAACCAGCTCCCGTCCCTCCCCCACCCCACCCCGCAGAGAGATTGATCCATAAATAAAATAATAAATTAATCAATAAATAAAATAGAAACAGCTCCCCCGCCCCCTGTTCCCCTAGAACCACCCCCAGTTGGGCACGGCCCGCGGAGCCCCATCCCTGCAGGGCAAGGCCGGTTTTTGTGTCCACCCCCCTCCCGACATGTTCCTTGGGCCTTATTTACAGATTCACAGTTGGGGGGCAGGGAAGGGGGGTGGGGGGGTCCCCTCCCTCCCTCCCCGGCCCCCTGGGGTCAGGGCAGAGGGGTCCCGTTGGTGGCCAGGAGCTTCTTGTCCTTGGGGGGGCCTCGGCGGGGAGAGCTGCTCAGCTCTGGGTCTGGGCGGCCGGGCGGGGGCTGCAGGCTTCGGGGTGGGGCACCAGCAGGCCGGGTCTGGGCCCCATTTTTCTCATCTGCAAGGGAGGAAGAGGTTTTTCGTGGGTTCCACAGCCCAGGGTTGGGGTTCCCATTACCAGGAGATGGGGGCAGAGTCTCCTTATCAGTCAGTCTCAGTGACCCCGAGGCTCCAGCTCCAATCCCCAGTAAGACCCAGTCCCTCCACCACCTGGCCTTGAAGCCTCCAGACTTGGTTACTCAGAGGACATACCCCAAGTGACAAGGCCTGGCTCCCCTAGGATGGGGGCTGCACCCTGTGCCCCTGCAACCCTGGGGCCAGGTTAGTCCAAGGGAGACCTGGGCTGGGCCTGACTTTAGGAGACTCTCAGATTCTGGTTCTGATACTATTTGTTAAGAAACAGCTCGCCAGGGCAGTGCTCGAAGTTCATAGCCAGAGGGCCCCCGACTCCTACGCTGGTTGTTAGAGAGACGTGTACATGGAAATGGGCTCAAGGGAGCCTCCTGGTGGCGGGGGTCTCAGGCCCCTCATGCTGGGCCAGCCTGACTCAGGTCACTCTCTCCTGGGTCCTGAGGCCACCTCCTCTTGGGGACTATGGTGGAAACACTGGTTGCTGGGTGGTCTCTAGCAATTTCCATGGGACCCAGAATGTTACCTGAGGTCCCCTGGCAGAGACCTCGTTTTTCTTTTAAGACAAACTGAGGGGGCCGGGTGCGGTGGCTCACGCCTGTAATCCCAGCACTTTGGGAGGCCAAGACGGGCGGATCACAAGGTCAGGAGATGGAGACCATCCTGGCTAACACGGTGAAACCCTGTCTCTACTAAAAATACAAAAAAAGCAGGGTGTGGTGGTGGGCGCCTGTGGTCCCAGCTACTCGGGAGGCTGAGGCAGGAGAATGATGTGAACCCGGGAGGCGGAGCTTGCAGTGACCTGAGATCGCGCCACTGCACTCCAGCCTGGGCGACGAGCGAGACTCTGTCTCAAAAAAAAAAAAAAAAAAAACTGAGGGGGTGGCTGGGCGTGGTGGCTCACGCGTGTAATCCCAGCACTTTGGGAGGCCGAGGCAGGCAGATCATTTGAGGTCAGGAGTTTGAGACCAGCCTGGCCAACATGGTGAAACCCCATCTCTACTAAAAATACAAAAATTAGCCGGGTGTGGTGGCGGGCACCTGTAATCCCAGCTACTCGGGAGGCTGAGGTGGGAGAATCACTTGAAACCTGGGAGGTGGAAGTTGCAGTGAGCGGAGATCGCGCCACTGCACTCCAGTCTGGGCGACAGCGAGACTCTGTCTCAAAAAACAAAAACTGGGGGGCTTGTCATAGTAACCACTATGACTTGGAGGCCTGGCCCCCCTACTCCATCCTCCTTTATGAGATGGGTGGCTGAGCCCCCGGGGTGCCTGTTAGTCCTACATCTTCGAGGATGTGCCCCTTTTGAGACCCCTGGTTGCTGAGGCCAGCTTTCCTTGGCAATGGGGTCCAGTGGACCTAATTTGCTTTCTGGTTGCCCCTAGCAACCATGAGAGGAGGGTTTCTGCACCTCAGCATGACTGCCATTTGGGACCCAGCGGTCGTGGGGGGCCGTTCTGTGAACTGTAGGATGTTCTGCAGCATCCCTGGCCTCCACCCACAAGAGGCCACTGGCATCCCCCTGCTTTCCCCATTTGAGATGAGAAAAAGCATCTCCAGACATTGCTAAATGTCCCTGGGGGGTTGTGCTAGGCTGAGTAACGGCCCCCTCCGAAGATGTCCACATGCAAGTACCGAGAACTTGTGGTATGTTCCCTGACGGAGCAGAAGAGACCTTGTGCTGTGGGGAAGGTTAGGGATCGTGAGGTGGGGGGTTATCTTGGAGGATCTGTGCAGGTCCCGCTGAGTCACCTTTTCCCAGCTAAGTTCGGTCAGAGGGAAATATGGCGTCACTGGCTTTGAAGATGGAGGAAGGGGCCTTAACCAGAGGAATGTGGGCAGCATCAAGGAACTGGAACCCACAAGGAAACAGACTCTACCCAAGAGCCTCCCGGAGGGAGCGCAGCCCTCCAGGCACCCTGTGTTAGCCTGCGGAGACCGGGTTGGACGTCTGACCTCCAGGACTGTACAATAATCACCACTTGTGTTGTTTCAGCTCCCGAGGCTGTGTCATTTGTTGATGGTGGCCAAAGGAAACACACAGGGGCGAAACCAGCTCCCCGAGTTGAGAAGCATGGCTGCAGAGCCAAAGCCCTGACCCTGGCACTCAGAGTTTCTGGTGACAAGGTCAAAGCTGCCCTGGCCCCTGGCCTCAACACTGGGCCCTGTTTCCCTTCGGCAGGGGTCCGGGGTCCAGGAAGGGGCCTGGGCCCCATGAGGCTGATGCTGCCTGACTCCCCTCAGAGCAGACGGCTGTCCACGTGCCCTGCAATGGGGCCCCGTACGCTGTTTCACCGCGTCCCCCGCGACCTTGTTCCTAGGGGAGGGACTGCCGTGGTCTCAGGAATGAGGGCTGATTTCCGGGGCCGGCGCTCTCTTCCCTCGAGAATTCTGGCTACCTCTGGTTGCTTGGGCGGGCACACCCCATGCTGTGGACTGAACACGTCATCCTCCCAAATTCATGTGCCAAAACCCAACCCCAGGGTGATGGTATTAGGCGGTCAAGTTGGGAGGTGATTAGGTCATGAGGGTGGGGCCTTCATGAATGGGATTAGTGTCCTTAGGAAGGAGGCCCCGGAGACTTCCCTTGCCCCTTCTGCTATGTGAAGACACAGCACAAACGTGCTGTCTGTGACCCAGGAAGCAGCTCTCACCAGACACCAAAGCTGCTGGCGGCTTGATCTTGGGACTTCCCAGCCTCCAGAATTGTCAGCAATAAATTTCTGTTGTTTGTAAGTTGCCCAGTGTATGGTATTTTCTTATTGCAGCCTGAACACGCTAAGACACCTTTACAACGAACCTCTGCCGTGCCCTGATTGCTAGAGGATTTGAGTCTTTGATAACCAGGACTGGGAGCCCGGGAAGGCCGGATCCCCCAGAGCAAGATCTTGCACATTCTCATGAACTCAGCTTAGAATTCTGATTGCTAGGGACCATTCGGCCCCAGCCCCAGACTGAGGTGATGTCTGAGACCTGCAGAGGGTGGCCAATTTGTCCTGGGTTTAGACTCAAAGCCCTGCATCCCAGAAACACCCTTCAGTCCCAAGCAAACCAGGATGGTGGGTCACTCTCCTCCCGGAGAGAGGTCCTGAACCTCTGTTGGCAGGATGTTCCACGACCCCCAACACAGAGCCTGTCGTCTTCTTAGGGACCCCTGGGAGCCAGTCCTCAGGTTGCTAGGGAGACCTTCCTCAGGCCCCAGCCTCTCGGGGAACCTGCTCACAACTCAGCAGATGAGACCTCAGCTATGACAATGGTGAAGGAGCCCACTAGCTGGGCCTCCTCTGCAAACCAAACCCCAGAGCACCTGCTCATGCTGGACCTCTTCCCACCACCCACGGTCCCCACCACCCACGGCCCCCACCACCCACGGCCCCCTCCACCCACGGCCCCCACCACCCACGGCCCCCTCCCCCCCACAGGTCCCACCCCCCACGGGCCTCACCCCCCACGGCCCCCTCCACCTATGGCCCCCACCACCCACAGCCCCCGTCCCCCACCTGCCAGGGCCTGCACGGAGGGCTGGTCATGCGTGCTCAGGAGCTGTGCCTGGATGGTCTCCACTACTCGCTTGAACCGACGGCTGGGACCTGGAGGGACAGGTGGGCAGAAAAACACTGACTGGGGGTCCAGGACCGGGAAGGCCGTCCCAGCCTGCAGAATCCAGTCCCTCCACCAAGCAAACCACCCTCCCACTCTGCGTCTCCATCTCCCCTGCTCTGCTGGGGCCACATCAATCCATGGTTTGCAAATGGGTCTGTGCTGCTATTTAAGGAACACAGTCAAACTCACGTACCTTCAACTTCAAATAACAGGTGTTGGTTTCTATTCAAATAGATACTATTGCTGGAGTTAAAAGTTTCTGAGGCTGCCACTGAGCTTAGCAGGAATAAGCACTGCCATCAACTGGTGATGTCTGCTCTGGGCCGACCGATATTAGACAGCAGTGTGCTGTGTCTTCATCCTTTGGCTCTACCATCGTAAAGTAATAGGAAGAGCAGAGCTCTCTCCTCTGAAGTCGAGAGGCCTGGGTTGGGCTGCAGCTCTGCATAGTGTATTGTGTGACTCTGGCCAAGTCCATTGACCTCCCTATGACTCAGTTTTCTCCTCTGTAAAATGGGTGATTACTAACACCTCAGAGGCTGCTTGGAAGCTTCAGGGAGATCATGCATTCATTATTTACACTGTAAATGCCGGGGAAATGCTGATGAGACTGGGGAAATAGAGGATGGGGTTGTGGGGGGGTCTGTGTGGGGAGGAGGAGCACAGAGAGTTGGCCCCAGCTGAACGCCATCTCCTCCTCTTGTAGCTGCACTCCTGGGCTCCTACACTGTCTGAGCTGTCGTGAAC